GTAGGGAAAAAACCCCAAGATGTAACAGTAACCTGGTTTCAGATTTCAGTAATCATAAAGCAAAAAGGAGATGAAAATCTCCATGAAATGCTCCACGTTTTCTGAAAATATTCTAACATGGTTATAAGCAGAAGGAAATTTGGTGTCTCAAATTAAAGATCTCTAAACGCAATGAACTCAAAACTTAATCCAGAATATGCTGGAGCTACAGGGAGCCTTGGTGATCACCTAATGTAACCATTTTAATGATGAACAAAACGAGGCTCAGAAATTATTTCCAAAGTGTCACCCTCTTTATGGCTATGTCCATTAGAGTAGCGTTAAGGCAGCCAGATGTAACCACAGGTGCAGAGATTGACCAGAATGAAACACACAGTGCTTTGGCAGGGAATGATGGAGGGCCTGCCCATCAGGGTCACATGGCAGAGTTACATCACAGGAGTTAACATTCATTTCCACTCCACAACCCTGTATTGTACGTAGTTGTCTTAAATGGATGGCTCTCCCAAGGAACTCGACTCTCTCCACCCAAAGACATAATCATATGGCCTCATTTCTCCATGTACCACGTGGTTTGTATTCTAACTAAAAGTACGTCTGAGTGACTGTGTAATAAGAGACTAAATGAAAGTACATCAGTCTCATCTTAAAAAAAATCAGACTATTTCAGCTGAAGTATTACCCAGAAAGAACGGCAGCAGTAAGGGAGAAAGTAATAAACTGTCATTCTATGTTCCTATGTAAATTTAGACTAGGTTAATCAATCCATTTCCAAAACCATGTATTTTAAAATTTTTCAGGCAACTCATTTTAGGAGTACAAAACAGCCCGCATTCTTATAGCTACTGAAAAATTCTACCTTGGTACCAGAGGACCTGGAAGAAACAACATGAAAGCGTCTGACAACCTGTAATTTCTGCTATTAATAGGGTTATAAGATAATTTATATCTTTATTCAAATGTAAAAATACAGTTTTTACATGTACATGTTTTACATGTAAAAATACAGTTTGTACAATGTACAAACATTGACCTCATAGGTAAAATGATTCCCAACCAGTTTTAGTCTGGACCAATGTTTGAGTAACTTTTAACCACCAGCAAACTATTCACTGATTTCTCAGTGATTTAACCTGGAATAAGAAACCTGCCCATACACCTTTCCTCTGCTTCCTCTTTCAGGGACACATTATTTCATTTGTGTCTCCAATGATAATAATTGTTATAAAGGTGATACTGTTTTAAAGTCTACACATGGTTTCAATATTCACAGAGTTCACAAAATGTGCTCAGGGCAGAAGAGCTGGGAAGTGGATTTTACGGACTCAGGTACTACCTGAAAATGACACTTTGTAAGTCAAAGGGGTACTCGATGATCCCTGTGGTGGGGACTCGAACTCTGAGCACATCTTGTTGCGTAGGCAGGTAGGCAGGGTCGGCAACGCGGTCCAAGTCATTAAGATAGCTGGAGGAGGGAAGACACATGAGAACGTCAGTGACACCATCACACCAGACCTGCTGATGGAAAAGGAAGGACAACAATGAATCCTAAGACAGAAGTGGAGAGAAGGAAGAAAAATATCAGAAAGTGGTAGAGTAGCTTGGGAAGTGAAAGATACAGTCAACCTTCTGCTAGTCAGAGCAAGGCTGTGTCCATCTATGGATGACCTGGTTCACAGTATTTCTCTTTTCTTCTCTTACTGTCAAATAGAACCCCGACAGAACGTAAAGGGGGAGAAGAAAAGAATTAAATGAGTCTCCTACCCTCTACTTGTTTAGCAGGTCTGGTGGGTAAGCAGGAGTTTAAAGCAAATAGTTTTTGAAATATTTATACAAATGTTATTTGTATAAACAAACAGATAACAGAGCTACACATAAGGTCAGGATGCATTTTTTTGCCTTTTTACACAACATCAGAGCCTTTTCCCTTATAAGACAGCAGCATACCATGTCCTAAACTCTGTCCAAAGCCTAAGTCATTCACAATTAATGTGAAGCCACGAGATTTCTAGTTACTGAGGCAACAATATCGAAGGCCAGATATTCCCAGTGTATAGACTCTTCACACCTAAACTTTACATGATTATCTGCTTATATGACACTTTTCCATTAAAAAAAAGCTTTTTATTGTGAAATAATTATAGACTCACAAGAAGCTGCAAAAATATTAGAGAATTCCCCTGTGCCCTTCACCTAATTTCCCCCAATAATAACATCTTATGTGACCATAGAATATTACCAAAACCAGGAATTTGATACTGATCAATACTATTAACTAAACTTACAGACCTTTCTTGGATTTCACCAATTTTTACACACACACACACACACACACACACACATATTTTGGGGGGTGTATACGTCTATGAAATTTTATTACATGTAGAGATTCGTGCAATCACCACTGCATTCAGGATACAGAATTGTTCTGTTAGCAGAAAGAAACTTCTGTGTGCTACCCATCCCAAACCTAATCCCTGGCAACCACACATATGTTCTCCATCAGTATAATTTTATCATTTCCAAAGTGTTATATTCCATTCACTTTCCATTCTCTCAAATTGCAAAAATAATTTATAACTTTAAGAATGACATAATTTGATATAACTGATGACAAACAGGTAAAAATGACCGTTCTGCATGGCATCCTCATGATTTCAAAGAGTCACTATGTTCCCTTTGGCCCTGGAAGGGATGGAGCACAGATAGGATTTCAAGACATACAACTGCAAAGTATATACAGAAAGTAACTAACGTGTGAATAAGATTTAAAGAAAAGGCAGAACCATTATAGACTTGGAAGAGATTAGATCCTCAACCCCTATATGCCCACAAACAAGAGACAGTGAGTTCTGAGACATGTAACAGGGAATGTCTGGTGTGGAGCGTAACTCAGCAAGAGCACAAACACTCAGGTGACATGACTTACCCAGGATAAAGACTGTCTCGCCCTGTTATTCCTGCCTTAGTACCTAAAAGACTGCCTGGCAAATGGTACTTAACGATTATTTGCTGAATGGATGGATGATTTCCCATGCTCAGATTTAGTTTTAGCATTATTTAAATATCCTTCTTACTAGTGGGGTTTCCATATCAATGATACTGTTAAATTTGAAACTGAGTATTGAAAAAAATTTAAGCCTCTAAGATTCATGGGATCATAAAATAGTAGAGCTACATCTGACTTTAACAAAGAAATAAATTACTGCCTTTTTGGAGCTGTATCAATTCTTCAAGACAAAAAAGTACAATATTAGTCTGGAAATTCCTAATACAAAGCAACTATAATTAGTATTCTAGTGGCCTTGTCCCAAACACATCAATGATTCTTTAGCTGGCAATTAGCTCTCTACTGGCTGATAGAAACCAGCCTGGTATCTTTAATTATTATAAGAGTGGCTGGGGGACAAAAAGAGGGAGAGGCTGGGAGAATATGGGCTTGAGAGGCAGGAAGGAAATGTAAAAAAGGACTGGACCCCAAATTTTAGTGAATATCCTGGCGCGGTCTGGGAGGTGCCTGATGGGGTTAACAAGCCCATGTTCTGGGTGTTGGCCTGTATCTCATCCTACAGATAAACCAGCTCATGACTCCATAAATGCAAAATCAACTGGGTACTCTGTATAGATGGAGTTTTTTGATTTATGAGCTCCTTGATTTGAAAAAATCGAAATGAACGCACATTTTGAAATCTGCAAGATCATCATTTATTTAACTACTATATACAAAAATTTAATTCAGAGGAATCAGAGAACTTCCAATTCACATTGGCAAGCTTGTTTGGAAACAGGCTGCCCAGTAAACCATTTCTACTCACTTCACCCAATCCAGAGGTCAGAACAGAAGGTGGCTAAGTCTTGGACACAAGGTGCTACTGTGTTCTTGTGGGAAGAGAAATCGTGGCTTTCTGTTTCTTGATCTGTTTCTTGAAGATGAACTCAACAGACTACTCGTTGCCACTTCATTTTTAAACATGTGTCCTTGCACAGGAAAATTTAAAGAACCAGCACATGAAGTGGGAGAGTCCCTGTCACACTGCACGTGAGAACCTTGCTAGTCTCTCTCCAATTCAGAAGGGTGAACCGAACTCTGGGAAAAACAAGACGGAGTAACACAAAATCAGGATATACACCTGCGACCGAAAGCCACTGATACGAGTTTAGAGGCTGTCCTAAAAATAGTCAGTGGTTTCTCTCTGTGAACGCCTGGCACTACTGAGACATTAGCTGAGTATCTGAAGCATTCATACGTGCGAGGATATTTTCCCCCTTCATCTTTCTTTTGCTCCTTTTCAATGTAAGCATAGTTCAGAGAGTAACAACGTCAACGTAACAATTAACCTATACTGGGCACTTGCTGCTTGCTAGGCTCTGTTCTGTCTGTTCATTGCCCAGGTTTTAACATATTTCAAGGCAAGGAAATGGCCATTAAAGATCCTCATACATTTACAATTTACTGGAAAGTGAACTGCACTTCTTGCTTGACATTCTTGTTGTTTTGTTTTAGGTGGATGGTGGAGAGAAAGGCCCACTTCACTTGGAGTAAAAAAGTTAAACTGATCTAGTTTAACAAAAGAAAAAAAAGGAAAAGAACTTGTTATCAAGGTCTGCTAGTTGAAACGTACATTATCTAGAACCGGAAACAAACCAAACCAAACCTAGAACACCCCAAAACAAGACTAGAAAAACAAAACAGAACAACAAGCCCCCCAATCAAACAAAAGACACACAATCTATTTTCTCCTCCAGGAAGGTCTGGGTGGCTCAAAAGCTACCCAAAACTGAAGACCTGTTGCAGATAATGAGAAACAAGTAAAACGTGCAGGCCACCTGGACTAGCATCTTTCACTGCCAAAGAGAGGCCAGTGTGGAGAGCTCCTGCCTGCACAAGCACCAACCCCACGTGGCCCCCTCACTCTGGGCTTCAGGACTTGGAGGGACTCACAGCACTTTCTGCATTTCACATTTGCTTAGGGAAAAAAGCCACTCTACTGCCTTACAAAATGGAGTTCTAGCATGGTAAGACTAGCATATCCTCATTTGTTGATTCTTGTCATATTCTGAGAAGAGGTAATGATGGAATAATCTCTTAACTGAATTGTACTTTCCACTGAAGCACCTCATATTTGGGCGAAAAACGCTGGTGGAATATGGAGGGCGGATGGGTTCATGGTGGATTACTCCATTCATTTAACCTTTAAGTAAAAAACACTGAGGTCTGAACAATTTATATTGCAGAGTAAATTCAGAGAGTTAATTATAGTTATAATTTGTTTTGTAGGAATGATTCTGAGTGGCTGCTGAGGTCATTCTCAGGGTGCTGCTATGGTGACAGGCACAAGGTACATTTCCAAGGCAATGTATGTATTACAAGTGGCTGGCAGTAGTCCTCTCCTGAGGTCAGAGAGAGAAAGCTTCATGGTACACACAGGACTTATTTAACTGTCTAGGAGTGAAGACTTATTTAAGATTGTGCTTGAAAATGGGTGTAGTCAAACTCATCTTACTCCAATCCATTTAAGGGAATTTAATGACTTGTCATTGCTTTGAGACATTCAATAATTGATAACTTCATAATTGACTAAAAAGACCCAAAAAACGTCAACGTTTTCCCACAGACATTTGCCCAGTTAGGGTTCTCACACTCCATGGGGGTCAAGGACCATGACTCCCTTTGTCCAAGGCTGGTCACCGATACTCAACCAAGGTCCTGGAACACAGCAGATGCTTAACATGGGACCCCAATTAAAACTATTTTATGGAGAACATTGTAGTGGTTAGAAAGGCAGGTTACACCTTCTAGGAGAAAACAACGGAGCGTGGGGGTTGTTAGACACTCATCTTTACATAACCACTTCTCCGGGCTATTACTGGCCTGCATTATGTAAGACCTAAATTCTGAATTCAAATGCCTCTGGCGAATATAAAGACAACGCAGAAAGGAAAGGCAGTATCCATTTCATTTCATTTAGTAGATGCGCTTCCTGCTCTTCTTTAGGTCCTGGCCACAAAATGATATAATTTGTACATCCGTTTTATGACTGTCAGTATCAAGCTTTCAGGCCTTGGAATTCCCTCTAACCCAGGGCAAACAGAGGGAGTGGTCCCTTATTAACAAACGATTGTGACACTGTATCTTTAATGGAAGAAACAGGTTTCTGATGGTTTTCAGTGAAAAGCAAGGCGACAAAAAGACTAGTGAAATTTCCATAATTCCTTTCCTACCACGAAAAAAATGCAGGGTCATCTGAAATTCAACAACCATCTTGATCATGACATTCTGGTAGGTGCTAAGGAAATGAAAATTCCCAGGATATGATCTCTGCCTGCAATGAATTTACCAACTTGTAGGAAAAAAGGGGGTTATATGAAAAGGAGAAACAGGGGAGTTTATTAGGGAAGGAATGAATGCTTGTATATTTTGGAAAGAGCCATTTTCTGGGAACTTGTTTGAACTGTCTCTAATCC